ATCAAATAAATGACACCGCATATTGTTTTCTGACGTTTGTCAACACATTTGGCAACGCCTTCTCTTTACTTTTCATTCAAACAATGCCCCAGGAAAAGATAATTATAACTCTGTTTGCAAATTACTTCCATAGCTCTCGTACTTCCTGGGGTAGAGGTCTGTTTCCTTCTGGATGCCTTTACACATGGAAGTCGACGTCTTTTCGTCCTACCTCCCCTATCTCCACAACCGCTATCACTGTTATTGGGGAAATCACAACTAGTGTTGACTTAGAGATCCTATTTCTTTTTCAGGTGTTCCACCTCTACGCTAGTCATCAGTCACCTATCCTCCTCTGTCTCTAAATTCTCATCCGCCTCCGCCTCCCTTACTTCTTTAATTCGTATCCACAATTGTGACTAGTAACAGGGTATTTATCAACCTGCACTTTGACGTCTATTGCTCCTGTTCCATGGCCCCTATCAAACACAGCCTACTGCCAGCACAATTTTCTCCTGACAAAATTATCGAAAATGTTGGAAAGTATCTCTCTTCCCCTTACATACTCCAGCCTTCAGTCTGCTTCTTTTACTTACTGCCAATCGTCCACATTTCCACACTATTTCAGATCTTATTTATAGCAATCAGTTTAAAGTGTAGTCTGACTGACCAGCACAATTGTGCGGGGTTCAACGAAGCTGATACTGAGTGATGAAGAAGGAGTTCGAGTGGATTAGTACTTTTGAAAGTAGTGACTGCTCTTCAGTCACCAGTTCCTATTCATCTATCCGCCTTTTCTCTGAAAGGCACATTTTAAACAACATAAGTGATACTTATCCCCCTCATTCTTTGTTGGATCATTCCACATTGAAGCCATTTCAAATCAACATTGATTGAAGCCGAATGATAGATTACCCACAAATAAGTCTGCACTATTTCTTTTCTCTACCGGTTGACTCAGATCTGCCTAGTCATTTTGGGTGATAGACAGTTGGATAAGTTAAGGAGTTAAGGGTATTGACAGGAAATGCGTTGGAATTAACAGAGCATTCAGTATTTAGAGTGCAAGCACATCCGAGTTTGCAAAAAAATGTCTACTGAGCATCATTCGGTAGCGTTGGTATTATACTGTGAGGTTACAGTAACTACTAGGCTAGCTCTACTACCGAATTAGTTTGCTCAAGACACCACACTGCGTAGAGAATTGAGCTCCTTTTAAATACTTCAGTCTTTTTGCCAGCTAATGGGATCCGGAGCTAACGGGATCCACGTCAATAACACGCACAGTAACACATCGAGTAGCAGATCTGCATTATACAGAGGCATAGAAAGAGCACTTCGACCATTGCAGTGGTAGTGAGGTAAATCTTCAGACATGGAGATATCTACAATGATGCCTTCTGATTCAGTTGGGATGCAAGTTATACCATTTATGTTATAGCAAACTGCACACTTGAACGTATTGTATTCTAACAATTTTGGTAGGAGATGGCGTTGTAGGGTGTGGGAACAGGCTACAAATGCCATGCGGCATTTTGCGACCTCTGATGATTCAAAATGGAATAAAATTATCCCTTCAGGTCAAAATGATGCGGTTAAAATTTGCCAAAATTTGACTTTAATTGTCAATTGATTTTTGCCGGTGGATCATAAAACTACGGCTTTCCGTTGAAATGATTCAATATACATTGAAGAGAACCATTAAAGGAAGTGAAATTCTAATAAAATATGGTAATAAATGGTGGACATTCTGGAAAAGACGCA